GGCGGCAGGGGTGATGGCGGCGACAGTCGATGAAACCGAAGTAGCGGCAGCAGCACAAAGAATAAACTCAACATGGCATCAAAAAGGTCCGAGCAACACTGAAGATCTCGGAGGCCGGCTTGGCCGGTGGCACCGACTGGCCTGCCAGGAGTGGAGGGGTCTAGCAAAGACATTCAGATTTGCCAGTAATATATATATATATTTATATATATTCCGCTTCCTTTATCACACTCGCGCAGGAAAGACGTAGGAAGAGGAGGAGGACAAAGAAGAAAAGAAGAAGAAGAAGGGGAGGAGGGGGAGAAGGAGGACACTTCGTCGGCACCTGACTTGCGTACCTAGGGCAGCCAGGCAGCCTGGGTCTTTGAAAGGGACAATTTCCAGAAGTGCTCTGGCAGCCGCAATGGCTGCTGCCTTGGTTGCAGAGGGCACCACAAAAATGAATAAAAGCAAATCCACAAGATCCACGAGGAACTCCCTTTCGGGGCAGTGGCCATAGATCCACTTCTGATGGGGTTCTGCTTACTAAGCATAAAGGAGCATCTCTCCTTATCTTCCCTGCTTACAAACGGATTTTCATATGCCACATGCAAGCTTGCAAAAACCGCCAACTTGTATTCCACAGCATTTTCAAGTCGTGCCACGTCCAGAGCCGCACTTCGGTCACCCTTCGAGGCCTCCTCTCGCATACCAACCTGGCAGATACGTTCAGAGGACTGCGGTCCTTTCGGTGTTGTCCCACCCACCTTCCCAAGTCTTCCTCAGCCCTGCACCCTCGAATCTTCCTGAGCTCCAATCTTCCCAAAGTCACAGACCCACTGCCTCTAAGTTCTTGGATTCGGCCTTCTCGGTCGCCAAAATCCTCAGCTTTCCGGCTTGCTCAGGCCCGGACTGGTGGCGGCGGGTCTTGTTCCAAGGTTCTTAGCTATGGAACCTTCGGAAGCCTTGGGCCATACCAAGATAGATTAGGAACTTGCAATCTTAGGTAGGTCGTCTCCCATAGGCCTTGAGTACGTTTAGTATGGAGCGCACCGTCTTCTAGGCCACCCACCTGCAGACCTTTGGCGTTGAGAATCTGGTCAGCCTAGAGCTAGGGGCCGGTGGCAATACGATTCTGAAATTGCGGCAGCTCACACAAGATACAGAAGTATGGAGCGATGCTATGGCTATAATTAGCAGTTCTTCTGTTACCATGATCTTTCTTTTTGTTGGGCACATTGCATGTCCTTCACAAAGACAACTGTTCTTCTTGTGTCTTGATCTTTTGCCATTTTGCCCCCATGATCCGACTGACATCCCGACTGGAGAAATCTTTGTAAGGACACGCTAGTGCTGAGATGTTGCTGCGAGAGCAGTGGACGGCTGATTTCTTTCTCATGACGATACCCTGTCCCTGCAGAAGGGCTCAATGTCCTATCGTGCAGCCTAGTGTCGCTTCTGCGTCACTCAGAGCCTCCACACGCATCCTACCCTGGATATGCCTTCCCGTGTAGCTGAGCAGAACGTGATACTGGTAATAATGATCAAGTGAGGCCATGGCTGTTTTTACAAACGTCAACAGATGATCCATGGTGAAGACTCCTAACATCCCCCTAAACAACCCCATGTAATCCCATATATAAGCCCCTTTGTGGAGTTCAGCCTACAGCTAATATTGGGTGGCAGCTGTTGTTGGTCTGGTTGTCAACTCTGCACATGCCGGGAGGTCCGCTTGCCTGCTCGGCCTTCTTTGTTCTGTCCTGGCACGCAAGAGGTCAGTGAACTCGGCCTCTATCTGGCTCACAACAATGGGCCGACGAACTGCTGCTGCCGCCCCACTCGTATTGGCACTCAGCTCAAACATCATATCACGGATATGGGAGGATGAACATACGGGAGCATCACCGTGATGATGAGGGTTTCTACATCAGACCGCGCTTTGCGGTCAACACTCGGCCGACGTTGCTCAAACATAGTCACTGTTGGCCTCATCTATTTATCTTGTCAGCAAGTGCCAGCAGCAAAATTGTCGTTAGCCCAATGGAAACCACTGGCACATACTCTCTGCACGAAGGAACATTGACAAGGACAAGCTTTCAGAAAAAAACCGACTTGTGAATAATGGTGTTTTGTAGTTTGCTAACCACGCCTCAGCAGCTTCGACCTCTTGCTTCGTGGACTGCTGAATTTGTTCAGCCTTCGGAGATCAGAATCAAGAAAATTAGGGTAGCATGAATTTATGTTCAAAGGGTCCTAAGCAGTGACAACGATCCACCGCTACCATCTTCTACACTACATGCACCATTGCGGATGCATTGAGAGAAGCTTACAGTACCCTGATCAGATTCTCACACACACACAGGTGACAAAACAATGCACCCACTTGAAACCTTGTGGCTGCCAACCCCGACCTCTCATCATGGATGCGAAAACTGAACCTTGTGCAAGACCCGCTTAGCTTCCAAAGCAAAGAGCAGGCTAGTGCTTTGGTTGAATCGTAAACCCGAAACACCACCAAAGCACGGCATGAAGATCGATTTCGCACGCAGCCCCGGCAGGGGTGGTAAATCACATCCCATCGGCAAGACATGCCTCTCCTTGAATAGGTGCTGCCCACGCTCTGAGATAGAGCATCTCCAACATGCCACCATATTCTTCTTGAAAGACCACGCACTCCCTACAACATCTAGACGATCTCTGTGCTTGGAGGCTCATAGGTGGGAATTCAGCGAGAAGTTTGCGGTGCTTGTAGCCCTCTTCTTCTGAGCACCCATACACATTGAATTGGACCCTGCATCACATGTTCCCCACTCAAGCCTAAGCCTGATCTCTGAAACCCGAAACTGCCGACCCTGCAGCCTACGTTTTGAAGCCTACCCCCTCAACCCCTGCCCTAAAACCTAAACCCCTAAACCTTAAACCCCTTTCCACCGTCATGACGGCACCTCCGCTGCAAAGGCTTCCATGGTCTGCCTTGATTTGGATGGGAATTATTAGGGGTGACAATAATGGCAATAGTGGTAACAATAGTAATAATTCATAATGGTAAGAATCGTAATAATGCTACTATTCGTAATACTTTGAAATTTAATATACTGTAATATAATGGGTTTCTGTGGATGTAGAGGTGAGGGTTGAGGGAATGATGTCTTGGACGTATCCCCTCACAAGGGCTACATCGGCTACACCAGTTGGGAGGGAAATCGAGCTCTAAGGTTGGGGGTCTCAACATACAGATGCCCTCAAACATTCTAGGATAAAGCAGGATGACTAGATTATGACGGTTGTCGCTGAAAAGTGCGCACCCCTATCATGAAGAAACAGTAGGAGTCCCCTCTAAGGCTTCTGATGATTGTGTCACCCAACCGCCTGGGTTGAGACTACACGGCCTTCATGGTGAAGGCCTGCACAGTGTCGAACACAATTACTTATGCTGAAGAACGGCTTCAGTTCGAAGGCCTGCGGCTTTAGGGTTCAGGGCTTAAGGATTGCAGATGTTAGGGCTTTGAGGTCAGTAACTGGGCCGCGTCTAGGTGAAATGCAAAACCAAGGCGGTCACAGCATGCGTTGTTGAGGCGTCCATCTTGTTTGTGGCGAGCAGCAATAGCATTCACGAGGCTTGAGCATGACATGCCTCTGCTCAATAATTGAATATCTGCATCAGGGGGTGAAGAAGGCAGTAGCGCACACCCGGCAAGAATCACCCCAGAGAGCTGTACTGCCCTGCTGCTGTTGTACCAATCTGGGTGAAGCGACCTGCTTCCAGCGAAGGAAACAAACCCACAATACACGAGTGCAAGCCGAGATGCTGCTTCACAGATAAACTCCTTGGGCTTCAGATGCCGATCTACGGACATCCACTGTAACGACGCAATGTATGAAATTATGTGCGTTGGCTGCTGCTCTGCACAAATAAAGATCTTGCAATCCTGCCAAGCTGTGCACCAAAGACTCTCAGAGCTTAAGCACCAGAACCGTCTGGGCTACAGCTTGGACAGCTTTCCGTCTGAAGATGCATTAAGGATACATTACGGCGCTGAGATGCTACATTCCTTCCTGGCGGATCAGCATTTGGAAGTATCGTACAGTGTCTGCAGTTGTGCAGGCAGGGATCTCTTCTTGAGCAGTCTTGTGCTCGAGATCTTTTCGGGCCTGCATAACGCAGCCCCATGGAATTATCCAGTAGTGCCAGGTTAAAGTACTAGACATCTTTCATGACGCCCAGTACTGTATACCTTGGGAATGGTGGTTTATAGCATAGCAAGCTCATTCAGGCTTTAGTATCAACAGTCTCACCAAGGCTGGGGAAGGGCTCAAAGTTGACAGATCAAGGTCAAACTTGGGGACCTCAGAAGGCACCGAAGAACAACCCAAGTTAGAAGCTCAAGCTCTCCTTTTCTCCACCTTGTAGGATTTGTCCGTGTGCGCATCTACAGGAAGTGCTTCTGCAGAAAGGCAAGCTTCAAGCATGTAGCCCCATCGGGTGGGCGGGAGGGCGAAAAGTCTGCGCCAGTCGAAATGCAACGCAGTCGCTTCTATGTTCCAGAAGCTCAAGCTCTCCTTTTCTCCACCTTGTAGGATTTGTCCGTGTGCGCATCTACAGGAAGTGCTTCTGCAGAAAGGCAAGCTTCAAGCATGTAGCCCCGCAAGCCCCATCATGCACACGGTCTATCCCGATTGGGAAAACAGCAGAAACCAGCACCTGCAAGGGATTTTAGCCTTCGCCCATAGGTTCGCCTTCCGCAGTGTATCTGGAAAACACTGCGCAGCATTGAGGACTCGTTCACGGGCATCGTCAGGGAGGTCAGAGATGTAGGTACAGGCCGCGACTTCTTGGAGATATATTTCCATCGTCTTATGCGACAGCCATCTTCCGCGTCGCCTGACATACTCAGAGTCCTCGGTGCATTGCAAAAGGAAGGTTGCCCCTCCGGGCCTTAGCGAGCCAAGGTCGAGTGGTCGCCCAAGGTGGCGCGCTGTAGGTATGCAAAGTCGCTGAAGCAAGGTGTCAAAACGTCTTCTCAAGGTCTGTCCAGACTGGGGCCAGAGAAAACATTCCCTGGGCAAGTCTCGAAAGCCAAGGCGATGACGTTGACGAGGTCCGCAGCTTCGACACGACCCGCCTGATGGCGCGCTGAGCGGCCCCTAGTCTTTGGCTCGTTGATCTTGATGAGGATGAAGTCCTGAGTGCCGAGGGCATCCCTCGGAAAAACAAGGTCTCTCCTCCTCGCTTTTGTAGCCTTGCCGACTCTTAGGAGGCCTCCGAAGCACAGAGCAAAAACGCCTGCCTCACGCGTCCATCCCCAGCAAAGGCAGGCTGACAGGATTGAGGTCAAGATTACGGCAGGCATAGCAATGTGATGGGTCGAAGGTTCCTCAGCTAACCACGTAAAGGCTAGGTCCCAGGCTGCCTGGGCTTGGCGTCTCAAGACAGGCTTCAGAGACGTAACCGCGTTCAGCGTCTCGCTAAAGTGCCAGTACGGTCGACCAGAGTTGTACAAGTCCTGCCCGTACTCGGTCAGGAGCCCAATGAAGCGTTCAGCGTCAAAGGGCACCTGGCTGAGTGCGCTGTCAAGCGTGGTTCCAGTGACCTCGAGGAGCCATTGCGAAAAAGCTGCGGTTAACCCAACCCTATTAGAGGAAGTAACAGGTTGCACGGGTCGGCCAGGGTTTAGGGGCCTACTTCGGGAAAGTTGGCGTTGAAGGTCGGCAGCATTGCGCGGACCCAGCACGGCACGGCTGGGAATACACATGCAGAGGCAGACAAGGAGGGAGACAAGTCCAGGGCCCTCGCCAGGGAATCCAAAATTCTTATCGAAGTCCATCGTGGGGAGGCCAAAAGGCCGGCACTGTCAGAAGGAAGGCGAGCCGGAGCCAGTTTGCCGGGTCAGGCGCTGTAGCGAGAGGGCCTCAAAAGCCTCGCTCAGGCTGAAGTGGTCAAGAATTGAGAGAGGCACAGGAGGCCTGGCATCCCGGCCACGGGTAAGATCATCGGCTACGTTGAGCCTAGTCGGCCCGAAGAGGGGGCCGGGGTAGAGCCCCATTGCGAGGGTGGCCCCGACCCTACGCAAAGGTCGACGAGCAGAGGATCTCCCCTTGATGTGGGAGCCCAGCATCACTGAGGAGTCAGTGATGACGGCGAATCGCCGGTCTCCGTTCTCGAGGGCAAGCTTTTTTGTAGAGAGCAAGGCCACTGTCACTTTCAAGTACGTTGATGTGCCGAGGCGACTTCCAAGTCCACGAGGAAGCGACCTCCCACTCGGTGCTGGCCAGGATGTCGTTGACGACTAGACCTTCAAGGCCCTCAGCTTCAGGAGCAGGCGGAGGCGGTAGAGCCTTGAGAGCTCTATCGAACACGGAGCCTAGGGCTAGCGCAACAGTATCATGGTAGATGGCACTCGCCTTTGCATGCTTGCCCTGAACAGGGAGATGGCTATGCCCGCCAGGACACTTGCGGTGAAGCTGAGCAGTCTCGGCATGGCAGGAGAGAAACCCAAATTCCTTCTTGTGAGGGGACCCATATGCGCAAGAGGCCAGCCAGTCATAGCGGACCTCAGGTTTGCGAAGGAGGGCTTTGACAGCGGGCAACCAGAAGAACTTCGATCTACGAGGATTCTCAATCAGGCATGCGACCCCTAAGGACAAACAAAGCCTGAAGATGATCAAGGCCCTGAATGCGAGGAAGTTTCCCAGCCAGGTTTTGGGGAGGCGCCGGTCAAAACCGAGAGGGAGTGCATGGGACCTGACGGCAGGCCAAGCGGCAGTCGTGAAGGTGGTGCACGGGACCTCAAGCATAAGGGAGCGCAGGCGGCCGTGGAGGATCATGTAAAGGATCCAGTCCAACACATGGAGCTTCTTCATGTCGAACTCCTCGCTTGAGGACAAGTCAATGCAGGGCCCGGGCCGCCAACCTAGACGAGAAACGGCTCGAGAAACTTTACCAGACCCCCCATAGACCTCAATAAAATCATAGTCCAAGCCAAGCTCTTTAGGAGGAGATTGAGGTGGGGGGTGATCATCGGCAGGCAAGTGCAGAGGCTGCTCTCGGGCGTGGCTGCTGCAGAGCGGAGCGTGAGGAGCCTTTCGGCCAGCAGAGAGCCAGAGAAGCTCAGACACATCAGCCCCGATGTGGGCGCGGCAGACCGCCCCCTCTTGGAGGGAGGCGTCAGTGCAGTAAACATTCTCATCATAGGGGACGGCTAAGTCCGCGCAGATGATTGGCGCAAGAGCTGCGAGGAGGCAGAGTTCCTCAGCAGCCTTCCTGGGAAGCGGCTGGAGGTTGCTTCCGGGAGCTGTGCCGGAAGGGCGCCCAAGACGGAAAAACTTGTCGAGTGCGCAAGAGAGGCACTTCCTGAACTGGAGAAAAGAAACCCTAGAGCCGGCAAAAATTGCTGCAAGCTCCTCGGTGATGGCAGGGAGGGCGGCGGCCTGCAGAGACAGATAGGAAAGGGAGAGCCTTTTGTGCAAAGGGGCACCGGCTAGGACCTGGCCTGCCTTAAGGTTTTCGAGGCTTGAATCTATCTGCGCGCCAGCAACGGTGTAGCGCAACGCGCCAAGGTTGTCTTTGGCATCGGAACCTCGGAGGGAGGCAGAGCTGTAGGCGGCCTTGGCTTGAGAAATGCACTGACCTGCGGCGGTTTTGCGAAGGGCCTCGGAAAGGGCATCACCGGAGAGGTCTTGGAAGTCTGTGACCTTCTCAGCTGATATCGCGAAGTAATCATCGATGATGAGTGCATCGTGAAGGGGACCCGGGGGGGCGGGCCTTGAAGACACAACACGGGTACGTGCAGAGAGGAGGCCTCGGCGCCCAAGAAGCTGCTCGTGAGCCTGAGTAGCATACTCAACTCCACCATGGTCTCCCTGAAACAAGGAGCCAAATGCTCCGTAGGCAGGGGGGTCCTTACCATCTGAAAAGGCGCACGCTGCAGGAGGGGCCGGTCGCCGCGGACGTCTCTCAGGGCACGGGTCTGAGAGGCGGCATGCTCAAGGGAGGCTGCGGCAGCGGAGGTACCTGAAAAGTCTGAGAGCCGGACGGAGCAGAGGGCCAACACAGTTCACGCGAGCGAGAGACTTGGTGGTAGTAGTCGGTGCGCCCTCGGGGCAGTGCAGTTGCGTGAGGGCGGCTCCGGAAGGCAGGTCCTTAGAAACCCCTATCACGGACCCCTCAAGACTATTAGGACCCCTCCTATCCCCTATCATGCGGTCGCGGCTGCTGTCCTTAAAGGACCCGAACACACGGCAAAGGTCATGGGGGTCTCGAGGACCCGGGCAAACACGGAGAAGGCCAAGGGAGTCCCACAGCTTGAAAAGCCTAAGGGCCTCAGCCGGGCAGTCACGCGAGGTGTCAGGGAAGGCGTCATCTCGGGTACAGCAGGTTCCAAGAAGGGCATTAGGAGCTCCTCACTCAGAAAGGGAGTGATGTCCCAGTGGCCCTGGCCAGTGATGGCAAGCCGGCTGGCATCTGCATCGCGGTAAGGTTTCAGTTCAGGAGGTCCACCACGGTGGGGAACAAAAGATCCAGCGTCGGGGCATCCAGGGTACAAAGTCGCAGGCAAGCCGCAGTGCTCAAGGAAGGAGCGCAACTCTTCCTGGCGCGCAAGAAGGTGGGCTGAGCGGCGGCCAGAGGCAACGACGAATTTGTCGACAAAGCGACTACTCGCCTCAAGCATCCTACGGACCCGGCCTAGGACTTTGGACTGGGTGCTCGACGGAGGCCTCCGAAGTGCTGCAACGGGGATCGGGCGGCAGTCAGCATGAAGGAAGTTCAAGGCCATCACAACTATGCGCACAACACGGTTGAGGAGGCGGGCATGCAGGGCTGCCTTAGGATCGCCGTCGGGCGACTTCGGGTCACAACGCTGAAAAAGGCCCGGCACGGGCACAGGTAGCGGGAAAAGGGCGGTATCGGGGAGTGCATCCCCGTGGTGGCTGGCAACAGCAAAAGTTGAACGAAGGAACCTGGCAAAGGAGGTCCGAGTGGCCAAAAGCAGCCGAGGGAGGGCTGCGGCCCACTTGAGAAAACATAATTTCGCGCGGAAACATGCGTCGGGCAAGGCATCCGACTGCACCGTCACAGGATTTCTTGAGGTCACGCTTCACGTTTTGGCAGCGGCTGCTGCCTTTTTCTCCGCCCAAAGCTTGGCCCTGAGCTGTTTGCGAGTGAGAGGCTGCTCTCCCTTCGGGTCTGGCGCCTTCGGCTCGGGCCTGGTCGGGAGAGAAGGTGTCGGCTTTGCTTTGGCGAACTCGGCCCTCTTCAGCGTAAGAGCATCAAGTTCCTTTACAAAAAGCCAACGTGGTAGAAACTAGCCTCTGGTCTGCGAGGGGAGAAAAGGGGCGCAAGCCGCTGGCCGGAAGACCCTGGTGATCGACGAAGATCGAGGCTGGCGGGTCGTGCTGCAAAGTCATCAGCCAGCCCAGATCGGACTTTCCATCGAGCGCTGTCTGCTCGATCATGATCATGAGCTGGGCGATGATGTCGGCGGCTCCTTTTGTCTCTCCCATTGCCATGAGGTCCATGAGCTGGGCGAGCTGCCACTGGAAGAGCCCCAGGTCCTTCTGCCTCTCGTAGCCTCCGTATCTCTCGAGATAGCGCTGCATCACGGGTTCGCGAAGCACCAGCTCGGAGGCACTGGCTGGCTTGGAAGCCGGGTACATTCTTCGGGCTGCTGCCGTGTAGGCCTTCTCAAAGAAAGCGCCCTCGGCCTGCAGCTTCTGGCGGCCGATTGTCCCCCGAGTTGACAGGGTTTGAGCTGTCTGGAAGTCGCCCAGGGGATCCGAACTCGCTGAGCTCATCTGACCCACGAGAGTGGTAAGAGCCCGGGCCTGCAACAGCATAGCCTCTGCCAGAGGCCCCTCGAAGTTTGCGCCTCTCAACTCTTCTGCGGTAATGCCAGGCAGGGCTTCCTCCGAGGACCTTCCTCGGGAGGTTGCTCGACAAAGGCCCTCACAGGGGGCGGGGGCCCCAGCAGCTCGGTCAGGCGTTGGCTTTGCCAGTGGCAGAGGAACGACTTGGTAGACAGGAGCTCCTCAGGTGAGGATGCGCTGGCCCCGGCGGCAGTGCAGCCTCCGCCGTCCGTGCTTCTGTGCGGTGCGCGGCAGCGGGAGAAGCCAGAAGCTGGTCCTGCTTGGAGACCACCTCCTGAAGTTGCACGGCCAAAGTACCTACGAGTTTGTGAAGGCTGGCCTGCTGAGCTGCTAAACCGGCAAGGGTAAACCTCTTGGCCTTGGCCTCGGCTTTGGCTGGCTTTGCCTTTGCGGGAGGTGCGGCTCGGCGACGGCACCCGCGGGCACACAAAGTAGAAAGCCGCTGGGTCTTTTGCGGACAACATAGGCAAGGCATGGCTCGGTGATGAGACCCTCTACGTCGGTCCCTGGGAGGGGCTCAAGCAGCAAAATTTCTATTTCCCCCGCCTCGGCGGCAGTCAGGGATTCGAAGTCCATGGGTGCTAGGGTAGAGGCAGGAAGTTCCTCACCCCACAGGCGTCAAAGAAGATGCGGCACTCGAGCTCAGAGGGGAAGCCCTGGAAGATGGCTGCAGGTCGGCCCTGCTGTGGAGCAATGGCAAAGTGCAAGTCACGGGTATTGGTGTACAGCTCTGGAGGCGAGCCGTTGGCAGAGCGCACTCAGCAAAAGGTTTAGGGGGTAGGGGAATGTGCGGCACGGGTTCGAGAACGCTAATAAGACCCTCAAGCAGGCACTTTGCCCAACACCCTGCAAGCCAAGCCCGGTGAATCCTCTCTAGCGCCGGCACGGCAGTGGAGCGAAGCGAGGAAGAGGAACGGACCCACTGAGCAGGAGTGGCAGGGAATGAGGCAGCAAGCTGGGCACGAGGGTCCGAGGCAGGCGCAGCAGATGCCTCAGAGGAGCGAGGAGTAGGCCTTAGGGTTAGGGCCGGGCCAAGTCCAGGCGCGCCGGACACGGGTGTAGGGGTTAGGGTGGATGCACAGCCCGTACCCGGTAGGGACGGCACACGCAGAGGATCAGGACTGGAGCCAGAGACCCCGGCTGGAGCAGCAGGGGAGGCAATGGCCGAGGAGGCAGCCTCAGCGGGCGGAGCTCGGCTCCTTGTGGATGCGAGGCCAGGAGCTTCGGGAGCAGCAGAGGAAGGCCTAGACCCAGACCTGCGGGTGGAAACCCTGAGAGAGAGTCGAGTTCCAAAATGATCTGAGTTACCTCGGCCTCGTCCTCACTGCCTACCATACAAGGAGAGCCTCTCTAAACCCCTAGCTCGACCCTCAGGCACAGGAGGTGGTTCGTGTCTAGGACCCGGAAGCCCGAACAGAACCCACAAGACTAGGCCGGCCCCGCACAATGCCCCTAGTAAGAAAACCAGAAGAATGAGGGAGATGCTGGGTTGGCTGCAATAAAGGGGGCACCTATAACCCCAAAGGTTGGTAGAGAAACCCTCAGCAACCAGTCCCAGCAGCTCCTTCACGGCACTGAGGTGCATGAGCCTCGAAAAGTCTGCGCCAGTCGAAATGCAACGCAGTCGCTTCTATGTTCCAGTGATAGTGCAGACAGCTGTCAAGTTAATTGCGCTCGCAATCTCTTCAAAGGGATGCGAAGAAAGCCCGGGAAGAACGAAGACGCTCTAGGACTTCAGCAAAGAACAAGCAGTCTTGGCTTGGCTTTGCTCCTTGTTCTCCTGCGGTTCCCTTCACCAAGCTATCCACTATCACAAAACATGTAGAAACTTCCAACCTCCACCCTGCTTCAGCCACCATTCGGTAAAGTTCGTGGAGGTTGGGATAAACCGTATTTCTACGCAAAGAAAATTCTTTCACTACTTAAAAAAAATAACAATGCAACATGCCCGCTTTACCCTAGTCACCTAGACGAATTCATCAGTTTTCAGTACTACCCGCAAAGCATTTCTCAAGATCGCCCTTATAATCTCAAAAAAAGTAACCTATAACACGCAGATGCCACTGAAGTAACCACAATGTTGAGAGACCTCCTGCATCCTGCGCCCTTCACGCTCCCATCTGCCCGGGTTCCCCTGCAAGCCCCAGAGAAGTTCGTGGCTATGCGAACAAAACAGCCCATGACTCTAAGAAACCCTCACCCTCTTTATGTGCGTACATATATGCATGTGTATATATATATATATATGTATGAGGATTTTCCAAAATTAGGGGTACCATTTTGGGGGTCCCAATAATAAGGATTATAGTGTTTTAGGCTTTATATTGGGGTCCCTTTATTTTGGGAAACTACCATATATCCCTATATAGTCCCCATCGAAACCGTGTAACATCAGAGTCACCCAGACAAGGCCTCGAGAAGTGTTGCCTTGGCCGACTCCACGTCACCCTCCGCATGCCTCAGAAGCTCCTGTAAGAACAAGCTATTCACAATTTGGGGTTGAGGTTGGGTGCTGCCCCCCCCCCAGTAGCAGTCTATATTAGGGGTCCTATTAAGGGCTATATATAACCATATTATACTTATTATCCAACTGTTACTGAGGGGGGCAGTACCCAAGGTTGAGGGGGTCTAGGGTGTAGAGTTTAGGGTTCAAGGTTTAGGGTTTAGGGTGTAGAGGTTAGGGTTCAAGGTTTAGGGTTTAGGGTGTAGAGTTTAGGGTTCAGAGTTTAGGGTTTAGGGTGTAGCATTTAGGGTTTAAGGACTAAGGGAGTATATGGGTAATATAAGGATAATGGAACAGAACATGGACACTATATGTTTTTTCTCGGAAACTACTTTTTAGGGTTTGGGTTTAGGGTACTGCGGGACAGCAGGGAATATAACCCCTATATAAACCCTGTATAACATCTTTCTGTCTTCCTTTATGCCCTACTAGATCCCAGTAAGGCTCTTTGGCCACTTCCCAAGATGATAAACCTAGTTTTGGGCAGGCTAGAAATTTGAAGATGTATGGGAAGACCCACTTTTTCGAATAAACCATGCCAGCTACTTCTCAATCATGTGGCGCAGAAGGTTTGAGGATATGCATGCGGTTCTGTTCTTGCGAACTGCCTATTTGGTAGTCGGTCAGAGGTCGCGCAGAAAAAAAAACTTCAAACAAAAAGAAACCTGCAACCTCGTTGTCTCCGATTGAAGCGTATTGAACCCTGATGAATCAAATTGACTAGGACCAGGAGGCTAAATCGTTTAGAATGTCTGTGTAGATCCCTGGAATGAACCTCCGCCTGCTCTCGCTGGCTTTCCGCGTTCCTGAGCTCGGCCTGCAAAGCTGAGGCCGGGGTTGTTATACATCAGCGGGCCGAAAGTTTT